GGCCGTATCCATAGTGTTGCCAGGATAAGGTACCCAGCCTTATCCATATACTATAGAACCTTTAGGTTATTCACGGGACATTATCCATTCATATATCAGGGGTATATCAAATATATACCCCGTATATCAACTATATACCCAGTATATATATTGTCCCGATTACATAAAAAATAACCTTGGATGTTTAGTTTTATTGGATTTTGGACAATGCAAAACTATGATTCAACAACAAATTTATTGAATAAAACTTTATTAAATAGATGTTTGTTTTTACAAAATACAAACTACGAGTTTAGGGCAACACACCCAACAGAAGAGAGATAAGTTGAGTGAGAAGGCGGAACTAGGAATCTTTATAGAATATAGCATGGTGCCCAAAGCCTACGAGATCTATCAACCTCACACAAAGAAGATGGTGATTAGTAGAGACGTTCAATTTTTGGAGGATAAGGAGTGGGATTGGACAGAAGAAGCAGAGGTGAAGCAACAAGAAGTCTCTCTAAATCCTGATGAACTAATTGATGGTGCACCAGTTAGAGGGACTAGACTATTGACTGAGGTGTATGAATGAAGCAGCGTAGCTATGTTGGAGCCTGCAGGGTATGAAGAGGCTAAAAGAGATCAAAAGTGGATGGAGGCAATGGAAGAGGAGCTGAGAATGATAGAGAAGAACAAGACATAGGAGCTAGTAGAGAAGCCTGCTGACAGAAAGGTGATTGGATTCAAATGAGTTTTCAAGACTAAATTAAATCCAGATGGCTCTGTGAACAAGTTTAAGGCACAAGTTTGGGGAGTTGATTTCTTTGAGACATTTACACCGATTGCAAGAATGGACACAATCAAGATACTACTGGTTGTGTCAGCTCAGATGGATGGAAGGTGTATAAGCTAGATGTGAAGTCAGAATTCCTAAATGGAATGTTAGAAGAAGAGATCTATGTTGAGCAACCAGATGAGTTCATCACGCCAGGACAAGAGCAGAAGGTTTATTTATTAAAGAAGGCTCTCTATCAGTTGAAGCAAGCTCCTAAGGTATGATGTAGCAAGATGGATGATCACTTGCTGAACTTGGGTTTTGTAAAGAGTCTGAGTGAATCCACACTCTATGTGAAGAAATCAGGTATTGCTATCGTGATCGTATCTCTCTATGTAGATGACTTGCTGGTAATAGGAATTGATAATGTTCAGATAGAGATGTTCAAGCAAGAAATGAAGAAAGTATTCGAGATGATCGATCTAGGGTCTGATGCATTACTTCCTTGGTATGGAGATTTAGCAAGGGCAGAATGAAGTGTCTCTCTGCCAGAAGAAGTGCATGAGAGAGATATTGAAGAGGTTCAATATGGAGGAATGTAAGAGTGTGAACACTCCAATGATTCAGAAGGAGAAGTTTCAAAAGGATGATGGAGAGGAACCGACAGATGAGAATGTGTACAGAAGTCTAGTTGGATGTCTCATGTATCTCACATTCATTAGGCCTAACATCATGTACACTGTAACGTTTTATATAGATTTCTTTATTGTGCAAGCAAGAATCATATGATGGCTGGAAAAAGGGTTATGAGATATTTGAAAGGCACACTGTCTTTTGGGATCAAATTCAGTAAAGTTGAAAATTTTGAGTTGCAGGGTTACTCAGATAGTGGTTGGGCTGGGTCGTTGGATGATATGAAAATCACATCTAGCTATTGTTTCACTATTGGCTCAGAGTGTTTCTCATCGTGTACAAAAAAGCAAGATATAGTGACTCAATAAACTGCAGAAGCTGAGTTTATTGCAGCAATGACTGCAGTCAACCAAGCTGTTTGGTTAAAGAAGCTGATGCATGACTTGCATCTGAAGCAAGAAAAGAGTGTGAAGGTGTTTGTGGATAATCAAGCCACTCTAGCTATTTCATTAAATCTATTTTTTCATGGCAAGACCAAGCATTTTAAGATCAAGTATTATGTTCTAAGAGAGACGTAGAAGGAATAAGAAGTTCAGCTGGTGCATTGCAGCTAAGAGAAACAAATTTCAGATATCTTCATTAAGCCTTTTAGTGTGGGTCGTTTTAAAACTCTTAGAAGCAAGCTGGGTGTTTGCAGTATTTGAGTTAGGAGGAAAATGTTAGTTAACTCAAGTTGCAAGTTTGCATGATTTGAATTTGTCTAGTCCAAGGCCTAGTTTTTAGGAAGTTGGTAGTGTTATTTTGTGTTATAGTCAAGTCAGGTTGCTATTCTTTTAGAGTTAGTGGAGTGAGTTGCTAATTTTATGGAGTTAGTTGAGTCTATTTTTAGACTTAAAGTGTGGATTTTTATGTAGCATTATTGAATGAAATGCACACTTCCCCACTTTCTCATCTCTCTCAATAATAAGAACGAAAGGGTCGGCTGTTGACCAAGGTAGATATTTTAGTCAGTCACGATGATGACCTACAAAGAGAACCTTACTAATGTTGTACTTGTCGATGTACACTTTGAAGCTTGTTCGAGCTGGTATCCAGCCGAACTTAGTTAGGTTGCAAATATAATTGGCCTGGATAATTAGACATCCAACCTGTAATCGCAATGAACCAATTGCAAGAGCAGAGCTCTACCAACTGAGTTATATCCACCTCGAGTCAAGTGGGACCTGCATGAAGGAGTCATATGCTTCTTCTATTTTTTTATTCTTTTCTTTGGCGTAGTTGGGTCATCCTGGACTTGAACCAGAGACCTCGCCCGTGAAGTAAATCATCGCACCTACGGTCCAACCAATTAGGAGAGAATCAATAGATTCCTTTTCTGGAGCGATTCATCCTTCCCGAACGCAACATACAACTCTCCGTTGTACTGCGCTCTCTAAGTGTGCTTATTCCCCCCCTTCTTCCTTACCATGACAAGTCTTTATGAAATAACTCCGATGAGAAGAAAAAAGAAGACGCTAAGAAATCCTCTTGGCCCAATCCTAGATGCTCTAAGATCTTTTTTCAAACCTGCTCCTGTTTCGAGTCAAGAGATAGATAAATAGACACATCCCATTGCACTGATCGGGGGTGTTCGTAGTGACTGAGGGGGTCGACGACCAAGAAGTGTAGTTGTTTTGCAGATTTTACGCTTGTGGCATTCGTATTTTAGGTTGGTGCTGATGACTCTCCTAAAGAGAGTTAATTGTGTCTAAAAGTGGCATATAATAGCTAAAGATAGACTCATCTAACCCCCAATATTCAATGAGTTGTGCCTAATTTAGAAGATAAATCGATGTTCTCATATGGCTAAAAGTTTAATGTTAGCGTTCGTATAAATGATTTGATTTTGAGCATTTTGCTGCAGCTTTAATGATGCTACAACATCGGTTCCAAAAAGAGACAAAAAGCAGCAAACAAGCAACGAAAAGACTTCTCAACGACATTTACCACAGTAACTGGAGGTTTCACTTGGAGTGAAAGCTGGGTCCCACAGGACTTGTTTTGTTGCCCTAAAATCGGAAGGAGGTATAAATGCCAACAAATAGAGAATCATTCACACACACCAAGACAATTCCATTCTTCATTCTTGAAGGAATCAACTCTCATTCCAAGAAAATCTCTCCAACCATTAGAGAAAGTCAAGAGGAGAAGAAGACACTCATCAGTAGCTGAGAAGATAAATCCACATAACTCTAGTACAATCATCAATATACACTACTAGAGACTCTAGTAATTGTAGATGATCCCCAGATATCACTATGTATAAGAAAAAAAGGTGTAGACATGCAGCAAGAATAGTAAATTAAGGGTGACCTAATCTATAATGATGTAGCTATATTTTATTAGTGGAAGCAAAACTTAATTTAGAATTTAAAGAGATAGATTGATCACTATTATTTGTGTCACCATCAATTGTTTCTCCTCAGTAATCTAATATATTTCTTTTTTTAGCAAGTCCAAGCAATTTCTCAAGTGTCCTAGTCATGAAACATACATTGGAAGTAAAAAAAGAAATGAATTTACAATTTAAATCTCCTTGGAGCTTTCTAACCTAAATCAAATTGAATGCCAACTTTAGAACAGGTAGGACACTCTAAAGAATCAAATTTGAATTAATTTTAGCATCTCCTTATCCTACTATAGTTATCATAGTGCTACCTACTTTTGAAACTTTCCTATTACTAGATATCAACGACTATAAGTAATAAAACTATTCCTAATTCTTGTCCTATGATCAATTGCTCCTGGATCTTCACGAAAGCTTTAAATGGAGCACGTGTGAATTATCTCTCTAATAAGTTGGAGAATGTATGTTAATACATGTTCAACTCGAGTAGTGTTGTAATGCTTATGGATTAAAATACTATATTGGTCCCTGTATTTTCAACATAGATTCATTTTAGTTCATGTACTTTGAAAATGTTCATTTTGGTCTCTATAATTTTAAAAACCGATCATTTTAGTACATATTTCAAAATTTTAACACAAATTTTACACATAATGAAAACCTTTTAGTATAAAGTAATATTTACATTTTAAGAAATATATTAATTTTAATGCCTGGTTAAAATTGTGATACAAAAATAAGACTAAAAATAAAATGAATGAACAAAAATAGCTACTTTTTAAAAGTACAAGGACAAAAATGAACATTTTGAAAGTATAAAAACTAAAATGAACAAAAGTTGCAAATATAGGGACAAGAAAGTACAGAAACCAAACTAATATTTTAACCCGTTTTGTATTATTATAACATAGTTATTTGTCCTTTATCGTCATTTTACATTATTGTATATTTATCTTTATATATTCTTTGGTGAATGAAATAGAGATTAACTCATTATTCTCAAACCTTCAGTCTATAACATGTAAGTTGTGAGTTGATTTAGATTTGAAAGATCGAAAATAAAAAGGAATCAACAAATAAGTTATAGACTTCTAATTGATCATTTGTTTTAAGCAATGTAATATAGAGATGAACAATATTCAGTATTCTTTGTATTAGATTGGCTTAGAAATAAGCTACAAGTAATGAAACGAACAAAAAGTAATTTATATGGTGGACACTGGAATATGGAGATGCAACAGGAATAGGATTGATCTCACATTCACATCAGATTCCAAATTTGAGAGGTTTATTTATAGGTTACATAACATTGCAAAAGCTTTCAGTCAATCAGAGCACGATGTTACAAAATTAAAGTCATAAAATAACATTGAATAAAAAGAATCGATGATCTGCAGTGTTCTAAATGTGCATGGGAAATATTTACATAATTTTACCTAGGAGTTGCCCATAACCTAGCATCGGAGGAAAATTTGTGCTCCAAAAGAATTATTGTTTATCATTATTTTTAGATTTCAACAATCACTATTTACTGTTTCGTAGTTGGGAATGAGATCGATGAGGTTTCAAGTGGAACGCGTTTCTTCCAAAGAAGCTCAGCTCCACCATTGTTTGTGTTGTCCCATTTTCGGGCGCCACGTGGCACCGGAGATTGCGAGAAAAACCTCAATGGCAGAGGGTCTCCCCATAAGCTACCCACTGCACAAAGCTCTCTGAATATTCCTCCACCAGGTTAAGTTTCTGTGCCTTCACTTGGGACTGGGAGACTTCCATTACATTCTGCTCTTTCACCTACATATTGAAACCAATAAATCTCTCTCTTTATTCTCAAAATAAATAAATATCCTCAATTTCAACCTATATAACCTATGTTTTAATTTCACATGGTTACATATTCAACATCCTTTTTTTGTTTTTTTTTTACAAAAGGATTTAATTGAAATAAATTGGTCAGCTCAGAATCTATGTAATTAGCCTAACTTGGATTATGGATACCTCAGTGCACAATTCGTAATAATGTGAATGGACAATTCGTAACATATAAAAAGAAGAAATACAAGATACTGCACCTTCATGCTTGATCCATATTCACTCATGGAGGGAGTTGATTCTCCAGTGACAACATTTTCAGATGATTCTCTAGCAATTGGAGAGTAGAGCGCCAAGGACCTAAAATCATAATGGATAAACAGAAGTGGGGTTTACTCATCATAATGAAGGAATGCAATGTCCTAGTCCTACCAACCAAAACCCTAGAGCAGAATTAGAAGGAAAAAAAATTATGCCGAAAAGAAAAGTATAGCTAGACAAATTGTAAAATCGCACTTTCGCCACAGAAAATTATTCTTATTTGTTATCTCCTATAGTTGAGATATTCTTGGATGATCCAGTTGCAAACCTATTCAAATTTTTGGTATGATTACCTCTCAAATGGCTCATCCTCAAAAGAATTCCCAGAGGATGAAAGCCAATCCAGGTCAACAAAGTTTGAGCAGTTCATAGTGTCCCCTTCTGAAAAGAAAACATGGTCACCTTCAAGACATCTTTCTCTTTGAATGGCTCCAAAAAGCCGCCTCTGAGGCATTGATGGAGTATACCTACATTTAGACATTCAACAAAGAACATTTGGTTAACATTATTAACAACACTGCCAGAAAGATAACATGTTAGTAGGTATAGGGAACAATTGAATTGGGCCGAAACTGTTGGGCATTGGGATGAAAATATAAAATTTCTTATATTTTATGACATTCCCATAACAAATCCCACAAAAGTTAACACTCATCTTTATTTTCAAGAATTCTAATCAAATTCCTATGGAAAAATCTATTAAAAAAAAACAATTATTCTTCATTCTCAAGCATCTAAATGTTTGGTAACTGAGTTCGCTTATCCTAAACTACCATTTGCTAGTCCCATGGTTTAGACAGTAAAATACAAAGAGCAAAACCCAACCTCACAGGCCTGACAATAATTTCTACAAATTCCAAACTCATATATAAAAAATATGCAGACAAACAAACATAATAAGAAATCCTTCTCAAATTTGTAAAATGCCCCCAAGCATATAAAACCCCAATACTACTAATCAACACCTAAAGTTGCATGACACATTCATGAAGAACAAACGCAAATGAGTAAACCATATGGTGTTCCTTCCTTTCTGGCTTAATGAAAAGCGGATCTAACCTGTTAAGAATGAACTGCTGCAAGAACCACAAGAGAAAGGAGCCTGGGAATTTCGTAAAGATAGATGGTGGAAACAAACCTGGACAACGCTATATCACTTCCAGAAGTGGATATTTCTGGAGATGATTCTGAAAGAACCTTGCTACCTCCTTGCGATTGTTTGGACAATTCAGAGTTTGAATGTTTTTCTTGCTTTCTGTCTGTAGATAACATTGGTGAGCAGTTTTCGTGAAGAATACTTCCATCTGACATGGATCTTTTGAATGCTGACCTATACATCAGATACTTATAACTCAGTCAAACAAGTACAAACGTAATATATATGAGGAACCAATCATGGATAATGCATATTGTGTCTATAGTGAACTAGTGTGATTTTTTACTTATGATTTATAAATTCTTTTTAAAAGTTTGTTATATGTTCCGAAGACTCTTAGATAAGAGTTCACAATGTAATGCCACGCTAAATAGCAGTACAATTTGCATCCATTTCCTCAAACTTACCTGTCATCTTAAGAAAGAAAGAGGGGGAAGGTGGGGGAATGTCAAGATATTTTCGTGCATTATGTTCCATCTAAACCTTACAAAAGGACTCCAAAAAGATGGAGAATAGTATAAAAAATATCTAGACAGAGAAATCCACGTGGAGGATAGAAATAAACCAAATCGGGATATTCTTTACCCTTCAAAATTTATAGAATTAAGTGAACCAAAAAAAAAAAAAAAAGTCAGCTAAAAGAAAGTGAGGAATATATTAAACCACAAAGCCTTGAATTTTCTTCTTGAACCAAATAGCAGCCGTTAATTGGACTTCAAAATCCCGGATATTGAGAGGATACCAGCTGAAGCTAAAAATTAAGATATTCCACGATTTCTACCCAGAGGAATAAAATATGTTCTTGATTTTCACTAAAGTTATAGCAAATTGGAGGTAAATAGTACACCAACTAGCAGATAGGCCAGTGGTTGGGATTTTCTACAATCTACTAAAAGCATTAATTTTCCCTCAAGATAGGGACAAATTAAAGATCTTCACTTTCATTGGTACCTATCCAAAGGACCGTAACTTAGTAGGTTGAGAACCTAGCTTGGCTGTTCACTAAGATGATTGAACATGGATGTACACGTGAAAGTACATAATTTTTCAATCTTTTGCGCAATTAGAAACAAAATTTGTCCAGAAAATCCAGGAAAGCAGCACAAGAATCATTAAAGTATCTTCAGGAATACAGATACCCCATTCAAATGTTCCTCTTATGTCCCAGACTTACCATATATTTTGAGGTGACTAGTAGCAATAGAGTAGAGGTGACCGCAACCTAACCTTTAGTGAGGTTAGGAATATATTGACAAGATTAAATTTAGGGATAATTACCTTCTTAGTGTGCGTTTGGCATACCTTTCGGAAAAAACGTTTCTTAGTAAAACACTTATTATATAAGCACTCTTGAGGTCCAAAAGTGATTTTCTGAAAACAATCTAGAGTGTGTCTGATAACAAATAAAATCACTTTTGTAATAATCGAATTGGTTTATAATTATTTGTAGGATCACTTTATAGTAATTTGATATTTGTAGGATCACTTTTAGATATAGTGCAACCAAACAAACTTGTGATTAAATCACTTCGGAAAATGTAACCAAACCACAAGTATTTTAATTATAACTATTTTATAGAAATTTTTTAAGATTTTTTTTATAAAGTGATTAAATTAGTGGGTATGACCACCCTTAGTCCAAGAGGTTTGAGATTTGTTTCTATTTAGTGCCTAGGTTTTAAAATCTTACCCTTTTGTTCATGATGTTTTGAAATGCTCCATTTTAGTCTTGGCATTAGTTTTCCACCGGCCTTTTGAATAAAAAGATGACATGAAATTTTAAAATTAAATTTAATGCTAATGTGGCAAAAGATTATAGTTCTATAATGGAAAGAAGTGATTTGGCCGTTTTTAATTCTTTTTTTAATAAAACAAATCTCTCTTCTCCACCCCCATCACCCACCGCCACCGGCCACCCTCCACCATCACTGCCCACTATCTCGGGTCCCCCACATGTGTTACATCCTCTCTCTTTTCACCTTCCCAACCAGATCTGAGTTTCTTTCCAAATTTGAAGAATCTTCATGAGAGAGAGGAAGGATAACAGTGAGGGATTTTAGCAAGCTAGGCAATGGTAGCAGGAGAAGGGAGAGAGGGGCGTACAGTGGAGGGGGTTGATGGGATNAAAAGAGAGAGGGGGTATGACAAGGTGGAGGAAGGAGAAAGAGAGGGAGGGAACGAGGATTGGGTTGCGTGGAGGGTGGTCGGCAATGGTGGTAGGGGGCGGGGAGTGGAGAGGAGAGAGAATTTTTTTTAAACAACCCCGGTATATCTTTCTATTGTAAAATTATTATTTTTTGTCACGTCAACATTAAATTCAATTTTAAAATGTCATGTCATCATCATGCTGAAGTGTTTGATAGAAAAATAATGCCTGAGACTAGTGTAAATTTAGAAATCTAGGGGCTCAATGAAAACAAATCTAAAATCTCAAACCTCAAGGTTGTTCCTCATTTTTATATGACAGTTCACAAGTTGGGTCCCATATTAGTATTTTAGCCCACAAGTGTTGAAAATATATGTAAAGGACTAAATTTATCTTTTCTTTTTATTTATTTATTTATTTTAACTAGGAGTTGGATCTTTGCTCCCCTATACTCAAGGGGCCCCGCGCCCGCCCTAAAGCTGGACCTGAGAGACAGTGAGAACTTATTAGGAAATAATAGGTATGCAGGCTGGTTGAATGAGTTATTGAGCCTAGCAATAGCGGCAAGCCGGCAACCCATCCACATCTAACGAAATCCAATTGTCTACTGCAGCAAAGTTCATTATTAGAAGGTTGTAGTTTCAAAGGATAAGTAAAAGTTTTGGGAATTAATCGAATCGACAATTCATTGTGGGGAATTGGTGGGAAGAAATAATAGAATTCTTTCTATTTCATGAAATTATATACAGCCATGTGAAGTAGTCTTTCAAAGATTTTTAAAAATTTATCGATCTCTGAAATTTACTAGTAAATTAACTCCAGGTCTCCATGCCCATATTGACTACCCTGTACCACAAAGCTTCATGCTCATTAGGGAATTTTTAGAACCAGTTCATTAGACGTGCAATTTTGTGGCCTAATAATTTCTACCTAGGCAACCAAGATCCAAAGGTCCACTGTCTTTGTATAAATAAAATGGTCGTCTCCTGCCATTTTCACAAGAGATTTAAATGCTTTTTGTTAATACAGAGGGTGAGAGTTAAAAATAATTTATAATAATAAAGGGGAGTGTTAGGAACCACCTGTCGAATTAAAGTTAGTTTTCTCCCTTGGATAGAATCATAGGAAGGCTTTTTCTCCATCTCTAAGATTCACCATCATACTATTCCAAATCTATTTGGGGACATTTGGCTGCCGGCATCCACATCTAAAGTTCGGCAATGAGAAGTGGGAATTAGAAGTCTGAGAATCAGATGATTGTGTGTTGGGTGAAGTAATGTTGGAATTTGTTAAATCACATTCACTAAAGTAAAAAAAGCTTAAATTTGATAGGTTATGATAAATTTAATCTTTATTAAATACTTTATTATTCTCTCTCATTTGTGGGCTTGAGAGCTAGTACAAGGCGGAAAACAAGTAGTTACCAATATTAATTGAACATTTGAAAAAGAAATAACATTACAGGGATTCAAATACAGAACCTCCTACTTTGATACAATAGCTTAAACTGAATAGCTTAAACTATGGAACCCAATAGCTTAAACTGATGGATTACCATCAATCTTTTTTTTGAACAAAATACGAACTTTTTATTGATAAATGAAAAGGAACACAATTGTTCAAGGATATCAACTCTCAAAGGAGTGAAAATAGCTAAAGAAAACCAAAATAATTTAATCTTCAATTAATACTTTAACAGAATGGTTGGAATTTTCAAAATTTATAAATATTTGTTTAGATATTAGTTCTCAATATTTAGTCTTTATGATCTTTAATTCTTTCCCTATCGTAATAGATATTCGTCCTATTTCCTTATTGTAGGAGGTCTTTCTCCTACATAAGAAGACCTAGTTGCACATATTATTATATAGCATCATATTTTTATTATCTCAAATTTAAGATAGTATCCTTGCTTCCTCTGCAAACTTTAACCCCTCCTAAAAACCCTAACCACTACTGCCAGAAACCCTAGCCGCAACCTTAGATCGGTGCACTCTACTTTCGGCGAGTATCTTCATTTTTGGCTGGCTGTGTTCGTGAAGCAGCCATTGCCCATGATTCTATGTGTGTATGCCGAAGTCGGGTTAGCAAGAACACATTCCTGTCTAGAGGACCTCCTACTTTGATACCATGTTAAATCACTACTAAACCCAATAACTTAAACTGATGGATTACGATAAATTTAATATTTAATTAATACTTTGACAGAATTCAAATGTCTATGTTTATAGTGCAGGACTGCGTTCGAAAAACTAGGGAATCTGAAATTAATGATTAGTTTGTAGGTTTAGGTTGTGAGGATTATTTTTTTTAAATAATTAAGAATATTAACTTTCAAATTGAATATTATTTCAAACCATAATTAATTGTATTTAATTAATTATTATTTTTAAACAATAAACAATTTTTCATTGATATATGAAATATATAAAAGTTCAAGATACAAAATCCTAAGGCTGTATTTAATTAATTATTAAATTTTCAATATGTTCAATAGTTTGTTTGTTCGTTTGGGTTTCGAGGATTGTTGTCGGAAAAGAATTAATTATATTAACTTGAAAATTGAATATTATTTCAAACCAAAACTAAATGTATTTAATCAAATATTAGAATTTCAATATGTTCAATAATTTGTGGATTCAGGAGACCTGTCACATCAATGGAATTGCAGTTTTTAAGATGACAGTTCAAAGATCATATAATATTCAATTTTATAGTGTAGGACTGGGTTTTTAAGATGACAGTTTTTAATTTGTGGCTAAACCATGGGGCAAAACATGAACTTCCATATCATATAAAAGCGTACATTCAATATTTATAATCCTAGAACAAATTAGGAAAGTTACCCAGAAATATAAACACGACGTTACAATATCAATAGCCTTTCGAGAGGGCTATCTCTCTCCAAGAACTTATATTAAGTTCTTCACCTTAAACTATTTTCCAAAAGATGTCTTCCCTCCCTCCCTACTACTTCTATTTATAACAAACTCACCCCTAACTAATTACCATAATGTCCCTAACTACA